AGTATACATATGTAACAAACCTGCACGTTATGCACATGTACCCTAGAACTTAAAGTATAATAATAATAAATAAATTTAAAAAAAAAGAATCAAATGGGACGATGAATACAAAAGACCCTTGTAAACTCTGAAGAGCTATATAAACATTAAAGATGGTTATTAAATGAAAGAATGCAAATAAAGCATTTTATTACAATGCCCATTACATCCAAAATTTTTAAATGTTAGCACCCTCCCACAAAAATATACATATGCATGCATGTATACATATACACACACACCACACACACTCACACTTGTGTTCACACCTTAGCAGCACAACAAAACTACCTTAGGTTCTTGTACCCTTTAAACATGTCTTTTTAAAAGTTAAGCTCTGTGTGGCACGTACTACCTGCTTATCTTTGGCTTAAGTTTATCTCTCCTGACCACTTCCCTCCTTTCTCTTCTCCCAGAAACATTTGCACCCATCAATAAAATGTATTATTCTACTCATTGTTGGGAGTGCTGCAGCCATTTTCTCATCTAATCCATTATAGGTTACACTTGATGAATGTAAAAGGATATCAGGCAAAACTAGTTTTCTCTAAAGAAGTTACAAAGTCAACACTGTAAAAATCATTTTCAGAAGCTATAAGATCCATAATAGTCTTTTCATAATTTTTCTAAAAGTAAATGTTTAAAAGTCTTAACTCTTGATTTTATATGTCAGGTTATCAAGCAATTATTTTAAATATTGTCAAACTAATGGTCCTGCTTATAGCTAAAATATATTAATCTAGTGTACAATTTTAAGTGGCTAACTAATGTAAATATATGATAAATAGCAATCCTGCAGTGAAAGAAAATAATTTCGAGTATGCAGTCAAGATTGTCACCTGTACTCTGTTATTTTCTCTGTTACTTGATTTTAGGTAAAAGGAGTCTGTCAGACAAACAGAAAGAATATGACAAGATGTATCTATCAAAAAATACACCTGAGGAAATTATTGAACAACACTTTATACTCAGTAGATGTTCACACATTCATTCATGCAAAGGTATATTAAGCACTTACTTTTTGCCAGACTAGTATTCAACAGGGCAGTGGGCATACAGGTGAATAGAATAAAACACCTGCCCAACTAACACTTCTGGCTTTTTCAGGTTTCTGTGTCTCTGTCAGACTCTTCTCTTTCCCTTATCATCTTCCCTCATCCTTTGCAGACACCAGTTGACCCAACGCCACAAAAAGTTAATTAAATATCACTTCTCTATGAATGTTTCCTGACCTTCTAAATAGATTCCTTTTCTGAACAACACCCCTGACCCCAAACGACAATCCTGTGCATGTGCCTTTAGCAAGTTTTTGTACTTCTTGTTATTTTGTCTGCCTTCCCACTGGACTGTGAATAACAAGAAACTGAATCTTTACATTAGTCCTTATTGTAACCGCAGAGATAGTTAATTGCTTGACACATAGTGCTTGAAAAAGGTACATTGATTTAATAAATACATGATATTATGACTATTTTTCTGGTGAATAAAAGAGCTTAACAAAAAACATATTAAAATAAAAGTATTTGAAATGTACAAAAGAAGAAAAATAAAGGAGTATGGATAGAGTGAGACATTGAGGAATAATCATGATGATGATAATGACAACAAAAATAATTGAGATAGCGAAAATAATCGCCACATTAATTATCAATATAAGCATTTTCATAGACAATAGGAAGCAGCAACAAAATGACTCACTCTTCCTAATTCATCCTCCAGGAGGGATCTGTGACCACATAGACTTACCCACTCTTATCCTATTGCACTTTGCCTGTAGATGCTTCTTTCTCTAGTGAGTCTAAATCCATGCAAAGTATGTAAAACAACTAACACTAGTGGGGTATTCACTCATCCACAAAGTGTTGGAGAGCAGGAATGGTATTGAAACACTTAGGGAATACAGGAAGGAATACAGGAAGGGATGGAAGAAGATCGAAAAACTTTCAATAAGACCACACTTGGCCTCTGATATTCCCCCATAATCCATTATTCCTCAACCTGCAAGCTGAGAACCACCCATACCTTCCATATTCTCTAACTAGTGTAAGAACAGCAATGCTTATATAGGCAAAACTGGACCAGGTCAAAGGATCCTTATTTAAGAGGGTGTAAGGATATTGTGGAAGTCAATAGTCTCTGAAGGAAGAAAGCTGGATCTAGTCTCATATTTCTGTTTGGATTTGAGGGAAGAAATTCTTATGCCACAGTTAATTCTCTAAGAATACGATGAAAAAGTCACATTAACACTTATATTAGAAATGTAGTGAATAGTTTCAAAAAAGTTTAAAAATCTTCTGACACCCGCCCAGGCACCCCCTAGAAAACTATGAACCTCAGGTTGAGACAGACACCTTTTGAGAAGGCTATCAGGCTGGTCAGTAGGGAGACCCTGCTATCAGCTATGATGTTATCCAACTGGGACAGCCAGATGAAGGGGACACTGTGCAGAGACCCTTCACCTCCAGTTTGTGACCTCCTCACAAAGGGATCTGTGGAAGACAGAGAAGATCACAGGTCACCTAGAAGACACTTAACCCTATTTCTGTGGTTAGGAACAGAAAAATAAAACTGGACTGTAAGAGACAGGAATCAAGTAACAGAGAAAATAACAGCGTACAGGTGACAATCCTGAGTGCATACTTGAAATTATTTTCCTTCATTTCAGAATTGCCTTAATCCTGATAGTAAGAGATAGGAGAGTAAGAGATAAGAGATAAAATGACTTGAGAATGGAACAACAATAGATGTCATGAGTGTGTGAAAACAGATGTTTCCATACCTGCGTCTCTTAGAAAGTATCTTCCAGGTCTGTCTCAGAGTAGAGATAAACTCTGGTGGGAAGATTCATAAAACAAAATATTCCCACAATGTTTCTCATTGAGTGTATACAATAATGTAGCATAGTTATGCTTATTTTGCAAATAAATATCTGGAAAAATATGAAGTTTGCACAGTTTTCTGAGAGAATGGAAGTTAATGGCATTTACCTTGGACCCTAGAATTAGTACAACCAATATCTAAGACAACAACTTCAATGTCAGTGAAACTACTACATATACATTAAAAATCTAAAAAACTACCATAAGTTGAAAAGAGACAAGTCTTTATGAAAAGTGCATCTGGATAAAAATGTAGCTTCAGAGAAAAGCCACTAGTATGTGTCCTTTCTGTTTATCCCCTATGGAACAGCAGAGATTTCTGCCTTGATTGCACAGAAGGAAGGCATGCACATAGAAATGAACACTATTTGAGGAGCGAACACAGCTGGATAATAAAAGAAGACACTTTTTTTTCAAAGCTGTTCATTTTTCAATCAGCAAGATTAAGATATAATTACAAAATGACTGTCACATGGAATATTATTTGACTCCTGAGAATGAAAGCTTTATTTTTTATGTAAGCAGAGAGAAATAAAGGTTGGTGTCTCTGCAACTTATTTTCCTAACACCCCTGCCACCTATGTTCCCACTGCCTCTACTCCACATCCCCTAACCGGACAAGCTCAAAGATTTGACTCTCAGAGAGTTCAGGTAAAATGGGAGCCAAAAAGCTTTCAAAGCTGAAATATTCAAGCACAGAGACAAGTAGTCTTAATCCAGCTTGGAGTGAGTCTTGTGTCTGGTAACCAAATTCACCAGAGCAGAAATCCTGCTTTCTGCCATCCCTAGAACACTAAATAGAAAAGCATTTCTATTCTCTGACAGTATTCTCAACAAATATTGTATTTGATGAACTTGTGTATTGTGGCATGTTTGTGAGTAGACACACTACACTGGGCTAATGGTCTCTTGATTTAATAATCCAATGTGTTTATTGGATTATTAAATAATCCAATAAATAGGAGAAATAGTTCTGCCCACAACTCTGCATAGAGCATCCTTGACCTCCTTGTTTCTCAGACTGTAAACAACAGGGTTCAGCAGGGGAGCGATGATGGTGTAGGTCACTGACAGAAGGAGGTCTTGTTCTGTAGAGTTTTCTGACTTGGGCTTGAGGTAGGTAGTGGAGGAACAGCCACGGTGGACAATGACCACAGTGAGGTGGGAGGCACAGGTGGCAAAGGTCTTCTTCCAGCCCTCAGTTGAGGCAATTTTAAGGATGAAAGAGATGATGAGGACATAGGAGGTAAATATCAGGCCTATGGGCACAAAAATCACAAATTAACTTACACCATAATTTATTATCTCATCGATAGTGATATCAATGCAAGAAAGTTTCATGACTGGGTAAATGTCACAAAAGAAGTGGTCCACCACTGTGCCACAGAAGGGCAAACTGAACATGGCTGTCACATGGAGAACTGCCATAGACCAATGCCAAAGGACCCACACACCAGCTGGGCACATAGGCCCTTGCTGATGATGACAGTGTACCTCAGGGGCCTACAGACAGCCACATAGCAGTCATAGCCCATTGCAGTAAGCAGGAAGCAATTATTAATGGCCAAGATAACAAAAAAGAACATTTGGGTTGCATAGCCTGCCAAGGAGATACGCTGGTTATGAAAAATGAGGCTGCAAAGCAATCGTGGCACAATAACCAGTGTGTACACCATCTCTGAACTAGCCAGCATGCTTAGGAAGAAACACATGGGAGTGTGGAGATGATGGTCAATGCAGACGATAGTCACAATGATGATGTTACCAGCCAGAGTTAAAATGCAGACAGTTAGGAAAACCCCAGAGATGGTTATCTGATGCTTTCCCAAACTAGAGAATCCCAAGATGAATTCTGTCACTTCTGTGAAGTTCTTTCTCTGCATTCTGCTATGTCAGTGTCTGAAAGCAATAAATGGAGTCAACAAGGAGTAAATTCTCAATAGCAATTGGACTTTAAAACAAAGAACAATGATAACTGTACTGAGACTGAATCCAATTTCCTTCTTTTTGATTATAATGCTCATGCAGAGTCCTTGCACATGAAGAGAGAAGCCTACTTGTACCTCTTTGGGGCTGTATACATATGAACATTGTCACTGTAGAGCAAACTACTTTCTGTGCATGGAAAGGGCTCCTGCCTGCATGCTCACCTCACAGACATTATAGTGATGTTAGGAAGGGAAAAGGACAGCAAGGAGAAAGCCATGCTTTATATTTCAACCAATAATAATATCCACTCTTTAGACCCTCTTAACAAGGAGGACTCTGGTGAAGTGCATGTCAAGAAAACCATAAAGATGAAAGTTTTGTGGAAAAAAAAGATATAGCAGTTTGAAATATTTGAAGACGGAAAACTTTGGGATGTGGTCACTGGATTTCGTAACAGAGTCACCAATGAGCTTTTACACAGCATTTCAGTTGAATTATGAATATAGAAACTTGATTTTGGAGAGGTAATGTGGTCCAAACATGTTATTGTACTCTCAAAACAGAACACCTAGAACACAGATTCTGCCATTATCTCTCCGCTAAAATTGATCGCTCAAGTCCCCAAGGAAATCTTTTTTTTTTTTTTTTTTTTTTTCTGATTCTAGTAGGCCTTTTGAGTGAAGTCAGGAAGAGAGCGCTGTGACAGAAAACATTGTGTAGTTGCCACCGTCATTATGAAGGATTGGGACAGCTTGAGGTATAGAAGAGACTCCGGAGTTGAGAGAGGAATCTGCAGCTATCTGTAGCCCAACTGGCTTAACTATTTTTAAAAATATGGTGAACAGACAATTTTGAGAAGCAGAGACACTAGTCCCTTTTGTCAAAAAGCAAGCGCATATAAACTGTATGGAGAGCATACATCTGATCCTGTGGTTCTCTTTAGTGACTGTTCTCCCTTTATTTTCAGAAGCATTAAAACAGGCTTTCTTTCCCACTCTCCATAATTCCCTGCAAGTTGGCTTTGGCATGTTCATGCCCAAGAGATTGTTTGCTCAAATGTCACCAAAGAATTCTCCATTGCTAAGGCCACTGGACTTTGCTTTATCTCCTTTTTCTCATCTTTCTCTGTTTTAACACTTCAAACTCCTACCTCATGGAAACATTCTCTGACTTTGGTTTCCATGAAACTACACTGTTTTTCTCTCTTCCCAGCACTCATTTTGCTACCTTCCATGAATCTGCTCATTTTCCCTCTACCATAATTATGTATGCTCTTCTCTGGTCAATCCTTGACCCTTGTGTGTGCAATTTCTATGATGATTGTTCTCAAATCTCTATTTTCATCACCAATCTTTTTCCCAAGTCTCCAACTTACCTCACTCTTGGCTTCTCTATTAGTGTTTCTTGCAATCATAATAAATTTCATATTTTTGAAAGTGAACTAAACATTAACCTTTCTTATACTCATAAAAAGCTCTGCATTTCCATTTTTCTGTCTTCTTTAATGACCTTGCCGTTTTACCTGTCCATTAATGGGTCAACATTTTGGAGCCATATCTATTTTGACATCACATTCAGTGGGCTTTTTCTTTAAAGTTATGTCTCCTGTCTGCACAACTTCTGAATTCACAATGACCCACTTAAGACTAGTGTACCAAATCTTCTAGCCAGAATAATAAAACATTTTCCCATTATAAAATTTATATGAATATGCAGAAGACCAAGAATGCTAAGACAATTTTAGGAAAGAAGTACAAAGTTAAAGAGCTTACACTACTTCATTTGAAGGCTATGGTAATCAAGATAGTATGGTATTGATGCAAGTGCAGGCAATAGGAAAAAACGGAGAGTCCAAAAGTAGACCCACATATATCTAGCCACTGATTTTTGATAAAGTGCAAAGGTATCTCAGTGACAGTATTTTCAACAAATGTTGCTAGAAGAAATGAATGTCTATATGGGAAAAATGAACCTCAAACCTTGTCTCATATCTCACACACACACACAAATTAAGGATGAATCACAGATATTTATATAAAAGATAAAGTTATACAAATTCCAGACAAAAATAAGAAATAAAATCTTCAATACCTTGAGATGAGCAAAGATTTCCTGGATATAAAACAAAAAGCATAACCCATAAAACAACAAAATCACAAATTGTACTTTATCAAAATCAAAAGCTTCTAATCTTCAAAAGACATCGTTAGAAAAATTAAAAGGCTTGGACAGGTGCAGTGGCTCATACCTGTAATGCAAGCACTTTGGGAGGCTGAGACAAGCTAATCACTTGAGGCCATGAGTTAGACACCAGCCTGGCCAACATGGTAAAACCTCATCTCTACTAAAAATACAAAAATTAGCCGGTCTGGTGGCACACACCTGTAATCCCAGCTACTCAGGAGGCTGAGGCATGAGAATCACTTGAACCTGGGAGGTGGAGGTTGCAGTGAGCCAAGATTGTGCCACTGCCCTCCAGCCTGTGTGACAGAGTGAGGCCACATCAAAAAGAAAAAAAGAAAAGAAAGAAAGAAAAGATAAATGAAAAGGAAAACCACAAGTAGGAGGAAATATTTACAATACATATGTCTAAAATTGTAACCAGCATATATAAATAATTCTTATAACTCAATAATAAGACACATTTTTCATCGGCAAAATATTTGAAGAGATATTTCACAAAAATAAGATATAGAAATGTTCAGTAAGCACAGGAAAGAATGTTCAACATCATTAGCCATTAAAAAACTTGTAAACTAAAACCACAATGAGATACCACGACACACTCATTTGAATGGCTAACATTTAAAAGCCTAACAACAAAGAGTTTTGGCAAGTAAGTAAAGAAGTTGAAACTTAAACATTGCTGGTGGAAATGTAAAACAGAATCACCAAGTTGGAGAACAATTTGGCAGTTTTTTATAAAGTTAAATATGTACTTACTCCATCACTCAGTAATTTTTTCTACATGTTGACACAATAGGAATGAAAATGTGTGTCCACATAGAGACAGGAATATGTAAATAGCCCTATCAGCTTTCTTCCTAAATGTCAAAAAACTGCAAATAACCCAAATGTCCAAGATATAACACATCCATATAATGAAACACTGCTCAGCAATAAGAGGAACAAATTTCTAAGACTAACAGCAACATGGCGGAATCTTTAAAACAGTATGCTGAATCAAGTCAGACACAAAATAGTTAATATGGTATGATTCTATTTACTCTAGAAATACAAATCTAATGTATACTGACAAAAAAAAGTGGTTGCCATAATTGCTGGGGAATTGACCAAAAAAGAACACAAGGGAATTTATTGGAGTAAAAGAAATGTTATTGATTGTGAGGGTGGTAATACAAGTGTATACATTTGTCAAAACTCACCAAAATGTATACCAAAAAATTGGTAAACTTTGCTATGTTATATTTTAATTGTATTGCATTGTATTATATTGTATCATGTAATATATTGTATCATACTGCATTATACTTCATCAAAGTTAATTCATTTGGACACGAATAAGATTGTATCCCTATGAATCTGTTGCTACTAGACTTAGCATCCTTTAGGTGGATTAATTATGATGGAAGAAACATTGGAATTGGCTGGGACTTGGGAAATCTGGAACCTGATCTGGAGTCTGTCAATGTCAAGACAAAACATGTGGTCTGGGGCAAAGATGTCTCCACAGCCTCAAATGCCAAATAAGGAGCTTAAACAAGATTGTCTCTAAGTTCTAATATACTAATCATATATCACTTCTCTGGTCTGGTAAGTACAACTCTGCTGCGCTGATAAGGCCCTGCACTATCAGACTATTCTTACACAGCAAATCTGCCATCTTCACTATCTCCTCTACTGCAAAAAAAAGCCGACCTTCCCAGGGTCTAGGAACATTCCAATACCCATTGTCAAAGCTGTGCCTGTGTTCATATTTTTCTTCTTACCTGGGTTGTCCTCCACTCCCCGTTGCCCACCCAGATTCCAAGTCCTCCGTGCTTGGAAGCACATCCTTATCATTCACAGAACAATCTTAACATAAAATCCCCAAATGAAATCATATTCTTATTCTTTGCTTAAATACAGAATTTTTAAACGACCAAATTAGATCTATTTTTAATGGTTAAAAATTGTTTCTTAGGAGTATTTCAAGACTCAGTTCATTGCCTAGCATCTTCATGAAATCATCTCACAACAACCCTGTTCCTCACTTCTCTTTCTTTCACAAAGCCTATACCCAATGGTGTGCTGGAGGCAGTTTGCACCAGCTCACCAGAGAAGATTGCTACCATTCTTTCTCAGCTCCATATTCTGTAGTATCATCTGGGTAGATTAAGATCTCCTATAGAGAAATAGTGTTAACTCAGAAATCGACACTCAGTATCAGGACTATTTTTTTTTTCCTGGAGAGTTGGTTGTTAAAAATCTACCAACACACCACTGCCTTCCTCCTTGTACCATATGCTGTGGCCCAGTCCATGTTATCTTGCATTGTTGTCTGTTTTCTCCTGTGTGTCAGTCTTCTTTCCCAAATTAGATTGTAAACACTATGAAAGAATGTGCCAGGGCTAAATCTTCTCAGTCCTTCACACAATTCACTCAGAGAATCCTTCAATACGCACTAGGTGATTGAAGAGTAGGAAGAATCCGGAATTCTTATTGTACTATAATTGGAACTCAATTGGCCAAGGAGACAGACTTAGCTACCCATGAAAATAGTGGGACTCGCCAGCCTCCAGCTCCCAGCGTGAGCGACACAGAAGATGGGTGATTTCTGCATTTTCCACTGAGGTACCGGGTTCATCTCACTGGGTCGTGTCAGACAGTTGGTGCTGGTCAGAGGGTGCAGCCCGACCAGTGAGAGCTGAAGCAGGGCAAGGCATTGCCTCACCTGGGAAGTGCAAGGGGGAACAGAATTCCTTTTCCGACCCAAAGGAAATTGAGATACACA